TACCTTTTAATCTGGAATAAATTATATTCAGATACCAAGGAAAAGCATGCAGTTTTTATCCTTTTGTTTTGTTTGTTTTTTTAAGCAACTGAAAACCTTTTAATCAGTGTTTCTTACTTGTAATTTGTAATTAACTGTCCTAATTCTTATGATTGTCACATAGCATTTTTTAAGCTTCAGGACAACTCCTCTCAYGGAGGAATAAAATTTCATCTGCTGTACCTTCAAGCACCAAGCTCAACATCCAAACCATACAGCTTGGAGACTGAGCCAAAGCTTGTTGAAGCCAACAAAAAGATTGTCACTGAATGTATGTGCAATACCTTTAGTGSTGTTTTGCCTAAAAGGAAGTGTGAAAAAGTTTAGACCAAAATGTAWTTCATTCCTCAAACCTGCAAATACTTATGCATGGGAATTAGGGGCTCACCTCTCTGTAAATTTTCTCTCACACAAAAYATCTGTGGATCAGTACTGAGTAAATGGACAGTCATTGGATTCTATACACTGAATTCGACAGTACAAGAAAGTATAAAGTGATTAAAAATTTCTATAGGCAGAATATAGGAGAAATAATGTTCTTTTGATTCCAACAAATTCTGATGGGTTAAACAAGAAACTTACTATTTCCTTTAATCAGCTGTCCATTCTAATGTTAGATAAGACTTTTACTGAAAAGCTACATTTTTAGCAGTACATACTCAATTGTTGTGTATCAATACATTAAGGCATCATTAGCACTGTTCCTCCTCTGAATTACAAGAAATAATTAGAATGAGAGATTAAAGAGAAGAAGAACAAAGCAAATGTGTTATGCCACAGCACTCAGATMTTTAGCTTGTTAGTCCCAAACAAGCAGGCCTGGGACTTTCTGGCTGAGAACAAATACTTGAACCCCACGAATAGCCTACTGGTTTTTTTTCCATTTATTTTCACAAGTGCCAATTAGTTTAAAAACAGATCAATAATTTTATAGAAAAAAAGAGAAAAATCAATGTTACTTTCCTCTATTATTTGATCCTACAAGTACCTTGCTCTTATTATATTCTTTGAGTAGTGAACAAAAAAGGATGAAGGCCAGACACTACATATTCTTCATCATATTCACTGATGTTTGTTCTCCATTTCAAGAACTATAGCCTCAATTTAGTGCTCATTGTTTCTTAAATTTTTTATTATCCTTTGTAGTTAATGATGAATTTCAAAAGAAGATTTAATTAAATKAGAAGAAATTATTTTGATACCACAATATGAGAAACCATATTGGCATTTTTTACAGACCACCATAAAATAGTTATTTTGTTTTCCAGGTAAAGTAGTCTGTGATAAAAATCTTTGTGAAATGAAGATTTTGAGTGAAAAATACCTCAGCTTCTCTATAGCTAATGGATAGGGGAAAAAAAGTTCAAAAGGAAAGAAGAATAGAATAGAAATAGAAATAGAAATAGAAATAGAAATAGAATAGAATAGAATAGAATAGAATAGAATAGAATAGAATAGAATAGAATAGGATAGAATATGAAAGATGAGGAATGATCACCTAGTCCAGCTATCTGACCAGTTCAGGGCTGACCAAAAGTTAAAGCACATTGCTAAGGGCACTGTCCAAATGCSTCATAAGCACTGACAGGATTGGGCACTGACCACCTCACTAGGAAACCAGTGTTTGAGCAACCCCACAGAGAAGAAATGCTTCCTAATATTCAATCTAATCCTCTTTAGGTGCAGAAATCAGATTCATAAAAAACTGGATATTCGATTAATGCTTTTGCCCTCCTTCTTAAGCAACTGTCAAAAGCTGCTGAAACAGCTCATRTCCCAAATTGGTCAGTTTGTAAATACAGTGACCTACTCTAGATAGAAATATTGAACATGTGTAATGGGAAAAACTCAAAAGAAATTTAAAGAATAAAAAAGGAAAATGTGTTGCAGGATTTTAGTGCTTCACAACCCTCTCCCCTGCCCCACCACCCATGTCACACTTAGGATTTACAAGATCACTTAAACATCACCTGAAATTCACAGACACACACACATCAAGATCATCCTGGTCGGTGGATTTAAAATTGCTCCAAACACCTCTTGGCTATCTAATTAATCTTGCCCTTGCAGGAAAGGTTGTTGTGATTCACAGAGACAGCTRTCATGCCATGAGGCAGATTCTGTCTTGTCCAGCAGGTCTCAGAACAATATGGATGTGGTAGATGTAGAAAGCAACCTGTGGTACAAATACCTAGCACAGGAAAGCTAAGTGCAACAATTCTTCTCAAAACACTACAATGCATTCACATTTCAACTGTGCTACCCTTACTTCTGAGTTAACACCAGCGCTCCTAAAGCAATCCACACAGCAGATCCAAGTATGAATGTTTCCACTTGTTATGAGAATCTTATTTTTTTACTGAAGTCGAGACTAAGTGTTTAGTGGATGGGGAAAACATGCATTTATCCTTTTTGTGATAATTARTATCCAAGGTCACAAATATGTTAAAGACAGTCAAAAGAGCATGCTCGATTTCTCTGAGTTCTGTGGTTGAGTCTTAATGAAATACTAAAAATGGGTGTGTACACAAGAATATACATACACATGTATGCACTGAATATAACAAGTATCTTGTAAAACTTCTTTAYTGCCATTTCTGTTTGTCAGATGGAAAGTATTCCTGTTTTGAGAAGGTTATGTCTCAGTGGTSTAAGATACCTCTTGCAGACTGTCAGCCACTTCCCTTCCCTTCTGCTGTCTCTCTTTCCTTCCCCTGTTGATGCTGACAATACTTCCTTTGCTCTTACTTCAAGCATGCTACACTGGAAGGTGCTTTGTTGACCATTATTTGCATTCTTGCAGTAACAGCAGAAAAGCWGGATGATAAAACTGAAGCAATATTAAGTACCCAAACTGCTAAGAGCAGGTGAGCTTTAAATCCTTGTACGCACCTTAGCAGCCTGTGACATTTTCACATCCTCTCTTTGCATGAACATTATTGCTTTTATTTTTGATGCTCTTCAAAATAGTTAAGCTCTTCATCACTAGCACTATTTTTTGCCCATTGYACTCAGCCACTAGCATTTTCTCTTTTTTTTTTCTGCCACTACAATGTCATCATTAGGCTCTTTTAAACTGGCATGGGAGGGGGTGACAAGCAATTCAACGGAGAACAGTGACATCAACAGCTAGATGAGGAAACAGAGCAAGAACACCTTTCCATCTCTGACAGTCCTGGCAGTATTGACCACATCCTTGATTACTGTGGTGCAATCATTTTAGCTCCAGTGTCAAGGTGTTGTCTCATGCTCAGAGTCACAGTCGATATCCCTTGGGTTTTTGTAGGGAGTCAAGGGGAGCTGGGGAGAAGATGAGTTTTGCTTTGCTGCTGATTAACTCATCCTGTCAGAGCAACCTGACTGAATCCAAGCTGGRTGAAAAAGAAAGCAAACCCCAAACCTGTCTCCTTCATCTCCCCATCCTATGGGAATTCATTGCACAGTTTTGAGAAGGCCCTGAAAAACCCTACAAAAGTCCTTCACAGGCAAGCAAGATCTGGGACACAAGTCACAGTGTGGGAAGGAAAGAGCCATCAATATCCAACCATCTGTGACAATTGTCAACCCCCACCTTCAAAGATCTCTGAGCCCTACCCACTCATTACCACAAAGACTGGGGGAAAAAGGCTAAATTTTGCCTGGCTGTTTRATGGCAGACAAGTATACTGTGATAAACTGTGATATTAAGGAATTAACTTTCTGTTCAAGTTTAAGGCTTCCTGCCTTGACCTTTAACATCGATATCTTGTGRGCATTCCTTCAGAAAAAGAAAGCAAAATTATCTTACAGAGCTATCTGAGAGCTATTATTCTACTGATAGTCTCCAAAGTATTACACAGAGAAAAAAGTCTCTCTTTTTGACTGTGCTAGGTAATTCCAAATATTACATTTTTACTAATTCAATCCACTGTCCTAACATAGTTACAGATGTTATGCCTATTAATTTTTAACGCCTTAATTCTAGAGACAAGCTGCCAATAATCATGAGAAAGAAAGTGATTTTCCAAGAGGTGAAATACTATGTCTAAATTGGAAATGTAAATATTTACATCTTCAAATCCACACAGGATTCTGATCTATGATGGACACAGACTGATGACACTACACAACTGGAAAAATACTTTTCCTTTAAAGTTACCACTGGTATTTTTACTAAATGAAATCAAGATAATTAGAAGATGATTAAAACTCATAGGTCAAAATTTAAGTCTGATAGCAAGGAAGAAAAAAGAAGTTGAGAGGACAAGTATTTTGCTAAATTAAGCATCAACTTCTAACACAAAAAMAGTGATCATTATTTTATGACAGAGAATGATATATGACATACTGAAAATAGCACATATTTAAAAATATAAGATAAGC